TACTACACCGCCGCGTACCACGTATCATCGACCTACCTAGCTGCCTCCCTTCACCACCGCCACCGCGCAGGTCAACGCCCTGCGTCGCGTAATTCACCACCAGCTACCACTTTACCACGACAGTTCACCGTATGTCGCCTGTGGCAATCATATACATACGCGCACCGGCACGGCGGCGACCAACACCGCAGCGTTATCGACTTCATCGATGATAGTCACCTGCTGCCGGCCGGACGGCAGCAACTGGTCACTCCGGATTCCCGAACGTCAACTGGTCTGAATGAACATTTCATCGATGATGACCTCCAACTATTACTCCAGCCTCAACAACGGCCCCTTATCATTCAACTTGCAGCTATGAACAGATAAGTCTTTCGTAGACAACCAGCCATTGTCACAGATATCCCGACTTCTTAAAATCCGATTATTATAAATGCACTTTTGTACTTCTAAAATTACTACAAGTATTGTGTGCTTGCAATCATTATCACCATGTTTCAGCTGCTTTGCTTGCTAAACCGTAGCTTACAACATGCTACCTCAGATCATTACAAAGTGCCCTAACTACCTGGAAAACTTTTTTATAAACGTCTTGAGTCTAGACATTTTCATACAAACACTATAATATATTTCAGCAATATGTTAAAAGGCGTAACATTATACCACTGACAGCAATACTGCAACAGCATTATTAGCAGGTCTGAGGAGGAATCTGGCAATGCTGAAACCGGCCACTAATCGTCAATCTCACTTACGGATTGCTGCTCCGGACTATGTACAAAAAAACTGGTATATTACTCGATAAACGTCAAACAAGAAAGTTTCGACGATTCCTAAAAAAAGACTGTTATACACAACTGAGGGTCTAGAACCCTTGGTCATAGTGATTTTCCACAAGCACTGAAGCATGTCTTCACTGCACGCTCGTGAAGAAAATAGTACACTCTGGAATCCAAGCATTTACATACCGAAACGTTAAATTGTAGCAATTCAAGAGGTTGACCAATTAAGCATTTCGGATTCACTACGGTGCGCCCGTTACAGCTGAATATGAGGATCGCCCCTGCCACGAATGCTTAAGGACATATGTCTAATATTTAGACTGAGAATGTAGCTACTAATACTAAGATAATTCACCGGTACTCTGACCCTATCAGATGTATTGTTGTACGGCAAAGAGACATTTACCGCGATGCACAGCAACAACAATGGTAAAATTGTGTACAGAAACGTTGGCTTCGACGCATGATGAGGAATAAATGGCAAGACCACGCGAGCAATGACTCGTTTCTCTTCTGGGCACTACATAAGGGGATTAAGACGAAGTAGCTGGTGTCGTTAGACAAACTCGTTGAGAATATGCCACTGAAAAGAGGTTCTCATGAGGGAACTGAACACAACAGACGAAGAACAGAAGAAAAGCATGCAAAATGGAGAAACAAGGTAGATCTGGTCGGGGAGGAATATTTCCATTTGCGATGCAGTAACTGGTGTGTTACACCAGCAGTGTTGAATAGCTAAGGAAACAACGGATAGCACAAACCAGAAACGCTCAGCACATGCAAACGGCTCAAGATGATACCAACAATAACAGCAATATTGTTCTACGGTTCATCTTGTCAAACTGAATAAATTAGGAACGACCAGGAAGACAAGTCTCACTTTACATTTTTCTTCGTTAGATAAAGTATCTCCTACGTTCAATATCAACAAAATATTATAAACCATGATTCACTGTATTTTCGCTATATACGTCAGAATTTACATAGATTTCGCACGACAAATTTTCTGTTGACCTCTTTCATCTTCCCGCTATTACCGCGGCCAATCTAGTCAACGCCTTTATCACCATCGTCACTGATACAATCACAACTTTAGTACTCATGATTATCACCATCATTATCACTTTCCTACTTATCCTGATCATTGCCATTACCACCATTATCAATCCTATCAGTATACTGGTCATACTCGCCGTTGTCGTTCGTATTATATATATATGAATCGTCGAAAAGTAAAGAAGAAACTACAAGCTTCAAGTGAAGATGGGGAAAAGATAAACGCAGAACTGTATGAAGAATGTACATTGAGGCGTGTACTTGCAGTACTTTAGCACAACGTTGGGTAATTATTAGAAATGATGACATTTGTAGTAGGGCTTCCGGCCCAGTAGAAGCACCTCTGACCATATATTTGCCCTACGCCAGATCCTTGAGAAATCGTGGAAGTTCGTCCAACCGGTGTATATGTATTTTGTTGTCCTACATAAAGTCTATGACCGGACGCCGCGCAACAGTTTGTGGTCATGCCTGCGAGCATACAGGATAGATGGCCAGCTGCTAAGGGCCGCCCAATCGCTGTATTTTCATAGCAGGTGCTGCTTCAGAGTAAATGGCTCAAATTCGAAAATGATCAACGTTTACACGATATATATATATATATCGTGTAAACGTTGATCATTTTCGAATT